ATGTAATTTAATGCAAGACAATTATACTGTTGGAAGATATGCTTCATAATAAAATCATAAAAAGCAATTTTTTTTATTTTGACAATTGAATTTGGAATGTTCAAATAGTATATATTAATTCAAATTGCCAAAAATTTAGGAGATTCTGACACAAATAGGCAGAAAAAACAGACTTTGTGATTCCAGGATATCCCAGACTTTGTTGGGAAGAATATAACAAGGTCTATTAAACAGTGTGTAGTTACCTTAACTTTGAAGCAAGCCTTGGATCTTATGAGAGGCTGACTGTATATTGAACCTGTAAAACAAATATTCACACAGTAGATATTTTCTAAGCATAACTAAAACTTAAACTACAAAAAGAGAGAGTACAAGTTTGTATGTTTTCAATTGTCTTAAATATCTTACAATTTACCTGAAACTAGGTTCTCTAGTGTTGGAAAAAAAATTATAAATGTCAGTCAATGAATACATAGATGTATTAATATTCAATGGATTAGCTATCTGATGTCCTTTCAACACATAGTCGCACATGCACATGTACCTTGAAAGTTGCCACTGTTATTATTAATTTTTTGCTGAAATTCAAAAATTCAATTTACCCCCTGAAGTTATTGTATAGTTTCATAGCTTTTAAAGCAAGAAAACTCTATTCATACCTTCCATATTTTAAAAGTGCATTTGTTTTATAATGTAGAATAAACTTCTATATTATTGAGTTGAATTTATTTTTGATGAAGCCGTGCAAACAATGTAGAACTAGGAGACTTATTGTTCACAGAACAATAAGAGGTCTTTCCAGCTTTTTAAGTGTTTCCGTGTCATTTGGGTTGAAAAAACGAAGAAAAACGCAAAAAAAAAAAAAAAAAAAAAAAATAAAAAAAAAATAAGGTGCTCCAGCAGGATTCGATCCCTGGACCCTCCGATTAGCAGGCGAGCGCTCTAACCACTACGCCACGGGTTCCGTTGAAATTGTCGTGTATTATTGTCGAGTTAAAGTTAACGGAATTTCCTTGATTCATTGACCAGTCAAAGAGTTCCACTTGAGACACTTCTGACAAGCTCCTGGGAGTATATGTGAGTTTGAATGAGATTGTTTTCGAGTTAAAATGTAAGGGATAGGGTCCGATTACAATTATGATATTGGTATTAACGGGGATACATGCATTTGAGGTTGCGTAGCAATTTATGTATTTGAAAAAGGCCTCGTTTGTTTTGACAGATATGGTCAATTCATAGATAAGATTTAATAATCATTTCTATTTGAATTGAATTCATAGTTACCAGCATAAATTAAACTTGAAACATGCATCTCAGGGAAAAAAAAAACGGTGTCATTGAAAGCGTGGAAATTTATTTGACAGGAAAAATCGCCGTTTTCTAGATTCATTCCATTAATATTAAATCTAAATAAAATTGACATAAATTCCACATACTAAAGAAAGCAAGAATATTTGGTATCGAAATATCGTATTAGAGCAGGAGAATCAAGTGATATTAACAACAATCGAAGAAATAGCCAATACAAACTTTATTTAATTTTCATACTTATCAACAATTCTATTTCAGACAGAAAAAAAAATGTAGAATTTGCCGATATTCACTAGAATTTAATTGCACTTAAGAGACTCACTGTAAAACTCTCAGGGCAGTTTCTTTGAGGTGTCTTCTACATGCTAAACTGAATTTTATCTTGATCTGTGATGTCTTTTGAGTTGTAGAAAAATTTTCTATGCCACTATTGATTTTTTTTTTTAGAGAAATGGGGGGGGGGGGGGGGGGGGCGGTTGTAATATATAAGTGTTTGTTGACATGACAGTTATAAATACCTCCACATAATTAAGCTTGATTGTGACCTTTGGATCAAAGGTCAAGGTCATTTATCAAGGTCAAAGGTCAAGGTCATCCAAAAAAAAAAAAAAAAGCACTTAGCCTTATAAACTTGAGTTTTACACTTGAAGCTGAATCTAGGTAAAGATAATGAATATATCTTTTTAAACTTTTGATAAAAGGTCAAAGGTCAAGGTCAAATATCAAGGTCAAAGGTCAAGGTCATTTTAACCAAAAGCCCGTAAATAAGCAATTTTGATACTTTCCCAATGACCTTGACCTTTGACCTTGACCTAATATTCAAGGTCAAAGGTCAAAAGATCTCATGCAGTTGGGCCCATGTCCTTACTACTTGTCGTTAAGAAGTTTTTAGTTCTTCATAAACATCATAAAATGCCAGGGGCAATATGACTACTTAAAATGTTTACGAATTCTTTCGCACTAATAGAATGAGAAGTGTACTAAATTAGTCGCAGACATTGTAGAAGGTTTCGTACCTCTACGGTTTACGGTTTCGGAGGAGTAGCGATAACAAGGGTTTACACTGAAAGGGGCACTAACTTTTAGAGGGTTCAATCTTAGGGGACAAGCATGGAATCTCTGAAATGGTTTTAAGAGTACATACTAAAGATGCAAAGAAGTTTAGAATTTGGTAAAGAACAGAAGAGCTATAAAAAATGCTGAATTTTACCTATTTTGAATGACCTTGACCTTTGACCTTGACCTAGATTTTAAGGTCAAAGGTCAAGAAATCTTTTGCATTTGGCCCCATGTCTCTACGCCTTGTCGTTTTAGAAAAATTCTTGATATTTGTAAACATCGCAAACATTCAGGGGCAATAATTCATTATAGGAGTTTATGAATCCTTTCGCAATGTTTGATTGGAGAGTCTACTAAATCAGTCGTAAACATTAATAAAGGTTTGGAATCTCTGCGGTTTATGGTTTCGGAGGAGTAGCGATAACAAGCTTTCATTGCGAAAGGGGTCGTAACTCCGAAAGGGGTCAAAGTTCATATACGCAGGGTCAACTGCAAAAATCTTTTACGGAGTACATTTCTATCGACTGAAAATCTTTTCGATAAATCTTGAAACAAAAAATCACACGGCGGAAAAATAATAAAGAAAAAGGAAAAAAAGAAACAGAAGAATATCAATAGGTCTTTCCAGAGAAAGCTGGAAAGACCTAATTATAAAGGAACAAAAAGAAATTATAAGGAAATATTTTGTCATAAAGAAGTCATTACAGATGTACACTTTGATTTTTTATTGCAATATTTTTACCTTTAATATTGTGATAATGCAATTGTCTGTCAGAATCAGCTTTAGGAACAATCGCCAGTCTTATCAGCTTTGGGCTTCTTGGACTTCATAAAAAAGCACACTGTGACACTGAACTCAAGTTGTTGAATGCATCTATAGGCCATAAAAACAAACATTTGTCATTAAGTTGATGAAAGAATCGACTTGATAACGATCTCACCATACAAAACGCCAATTGCTATACAGGATTTCTACTTTCACTTTCAAATCAGTACGTAACAAAAGTCAAAACAAAAAGAAAACAAAGCAATGCCTTTAGCCTAACATGTAAATTGTAATGTTTACATCCATTCAGAAACAAATTTATCCAAAATTACTTACAGATCACTAACATTATGTAGGTTTGCGAAATGCATTAATTTAACAATTACAAGTGATGAGAGTATTATAGAAATAAGTTCATACGAATCTGTAACCGTAATGAAAGGATATTTAAACAATATGAATTAAAGGTCTTAATAAAAAATTGTTAGGAGATAGGCCTATCGTACTTTTTCCAACACCCAGCACTTCTGCTGCAGCAGTGACGTCAAACATGACACTTTCATCGATAAAAGTCAAAACCGGTCCGGAAAAATATACGGAATTATTTTGATTTTACTCAAGTAATAAACCAAACCCAAAAGATTTGAAATAAAAAGCAAATTAATTTATTCTTTATCAATTTTTTCTGGGAAATGCATTAATACAGAAAAAAAATTGTGAAAGGTTTTTTTTTAGGGAATGGGGAAGGAGAGGGGGGGGGGGGCAGGGTTAAACAGAGTAGAACTTTACATACTATGTATAAGTCATTGCTAACAAATTCTTTTGAATTAATGTACATTTAAATAACTATTGATATATATTATTGAAATTGCAATTTTACTTGAGTATACCAAGGGCAAATTAGTGAACACTGTTTTATATGAATCTCATATGATCACTCTGTCATATGATTCTCATATGATCACTGTCAAAATATTCATATGATTTTTACCTGAGTATAACAATGGCAATTTAGTGAATATGGTTTCATATGATTCTTATGTGATCAGTTTCATATGATTCTCACATGACCACTACCAAAAAATACATATGATTCTCATATGTAGGACCTTTCGTAAGAGAATCATATGTATATTACTTCATATGGTTAGCATTATGTATGATCATATGATTCTCATATGATTTGCCACATATGATTCACATATGATTGTATATACATATGATTCTCATATGATCCACATATTATCCTCATATGAAAGGCAATGCATATGTGGATCATATGTGGCTAAATTGCCTATGTACAGAAGCATCCTCAGGTAGTGTAGATTGAAACAAATTATGATCCCCCAGGATAGGGCGGAGCCACAGGAACGATCAAAGTTTTACATAGAAATATATTGGAAAATTTTTTTGAAAACATTGGATAAAACATTTTTTCCTAAACCGCTGGGTCATAAAACTCATGTGGAAACATCCTCAGGTTGTGTGGATTTACGTTTTTTCAAATCATGACCCCTGGGAGTATGGTGGGCAACAATGAGCCATCAAATTTTCCATAGGAATACTTAGGAAATTTAAAAATAAAAAAAATTCTTAACAACAGCAGAGCCATGATTTGTCAATTTTTATTGAAGCACCCTTAGGTACTGTCGATTCAAGTTTGTTCAAATTATGACCCCCAGGGTAGGGTGGGGGCCACAATAGAAGATGAAGCTTATAGGGGAAAAAATCTATTTTTAAATAATTAAAGCCATGATATGTTTAAGAAATATGGTAACATACTCAGTGTAGATTCAAGTTCAAATCATACCTCATCCCCTTAGGGATAGGTTTATATGACTCTTAAAATACTGAACTAACCAATGTGCTCAGGTGAGCGATGTGGCCCATGGGCCTTTTGTTATTTTCCAGGACTAAGCAGAGTTGCTTTAATTGTGGTGGTGATCACAGAATTAATGAGTGTACAGAACCCAAAGACTTTAGAAGAATCAGGGAAAACAAGAACAAATTCCTGCAGCAAGCACAGATGCAGAAACAATCGTATGGATTGTAGGATTAAAAAGAATTCCTTTATTAGGGCCCTGCTCTACAAGTTCATTATTGATCAGTCTGTCCATCCATCTAACTGTGATTTCATTTGTTCACAGCTTACTATAAGTGTATTATACGAAGGATGTACAGTATTTGAAGGAAATTGATTTTTTTAGCTTCAATTTTTTTAGCTCTTCTTAGCCAAAGGCTCAAAGAGCTGCATTAATGCTATGGCCATTTGTGCGATGTCTGTAAACTTTTTAAAATATGGGCCATAACTCAAGAACCCCTTTGGCCAATCAGTACCAAATTTGTCACAGGGTATCCTTGGCCCAAGGGCTACCATTTATACTAAAATAAGGGTTGGACTCTTAAACAAGGGGAGATACTGTAGATCACATAATTTTCGCGACACCTTATTTTCGCGAGATAGTCATTGACCCTTTATAAGCGAGACCAAATTTTCACGAACTGTGGTCATCGCTCTATATAATAATAAGGAATTCTATTATTCGCGAGAATGAATTTTTCGCGAGCATACCGTCTCGCGTAATTACGCGAAAATAAAGTTCTCGCGAATAAAAAATGATTTACAGTTATCAGGAAAACAAAACCAAAAGTACTAGTTGCTAAAAAATCTTCTTCTGCATAACCACCAGGCAGATTTTAACCAAACTTACATACAAGGATCAGGATATGACGAAGATTAAAATTTGCACCCGGAAATACCCTGGGGCAAAGGGCGTGGTCTCAAGGTCACTTCAAAGTCGACCTAAATTTACAATTAATAAAAACGTGTATATTTTGCTTACTATAAGGACTAGGATCATCAATTCTTGTAAGTTGATGCATCTTACGACTTCACATCATGTTAACTCAAAAGTAGGTCACGGTGACCTACTTTTTAAATTTTGCGGGGATTTGTTTTCAAATTGATTTGAAGGCATATTTTGGACACTTTAAGGCCTATGATCATCAAACTTTGTCAGTTGATGCATCTTGGGTCCTTGAACAATGACAACTAAAAAGTAGGTCACCGTGACCTACTTTTTGAACTTTATGACTTATCCTTTTAAAAACATTAAATCCCATTATTTCAGACAGTGGGAGGTTTAGAATCATCAAATCTTGTACTTTGATGCATTTTGAGACCCTAAAACATATTTATGAAAAAGTAGGTCACTGTGACCTACTTTTTTAATTTTGCCGACTTTGTTTTCAAATTGTTTAAATTGCATATTTTGATTACCTTCAGACCTACGATCATCAAACTTGGTCAGTAGATGCATCTTGGGTCTTTGAAAAATGTCGACCAAAATGTAGGTCACGATGACCTACTTTCGACATTTTATGGCTATATTTAAGTATCTTAGGTATTTATTGGCTTAGAATCATCAAACTTTGTGAGTCCATGCATATTTGGTTTTCGGAGAGTGACGACCAAAAAGTAGGTCATGGTGAACTACTTTTGACATTTTGTGACTATAATTAAGTATTTCTGGTACTTATTGACCTAAAATCATCAAACTTTGTCAGTTGATGCATCTTTGGTTTTCGGAAATCATCAACTAAGTACATACCGTTATAATTTCTTTTGATTGTACTGTTGATTGTCCCGACTATATCACGTGCTTCCGGAATGATAGTGCACATGCACCTTATCAAAAAGTAGGTCACAGTGACCTACTTTTGACATTTTATGGCTATATTTAAGTATCTCTCAGGCACTTATTGGCTAAGAATCATCAAACTTTGTCAGTTTAGGCATCTTGGGTTTTCGGAGAATGTCAACCAAAAAATAGGTCACAGTGACCTACTTTTGAATATCTCAGGTACGTATAAGCTTAGAATCATCAAACTTTGTCAGTTTAGGCACCTTGGGTTTTCTGAGAACGTCGACCAAAAAGTAGGTCACTGTGACCTACTTTTGACATTTTATGGCTATATTTAATTATATCTGGTACTTAATGGCTTGGAATTATCAATTTTGTTAGTTGAGGCATCTTAGGGTTTCATTGAATGTCCAACAAGAAGTAGGTCACGGTGACCTAATTTTGAATATTTCAGGTACTTATTGGCTTAGAATCATCAAATTTTGTCAATTTAGGCATTATGGGTTTTTTAATAACGTTGACCAAAATTTTTATATTTTATTATCTCTGGTACTAATTGGCTTACAATCGTCAAACTTTGTCAGATGATGCATCTTGGGTTTTCAGAGAAAGTTGACCAAAAAGTAGGTCATGGTGACCTACTGTATAGGGGGAAAATAACTCGCGGTGTTAATAATCGCTATATTCACGGTGTTAATGAATCCGTGAATTCAAGAAACAGTGAATAAGTTTTCAATAGGTATAGATAAGGGAGGAAACTTTTAATATATACCAATTCCGGGAATTCAAGAAACCGTGATTGTGCCAAGAAGAGAAAAACGTGAAAATTACAACCCGTGAAATTAATCCCCTATACAGTACTTTTGAATATCTCAAGTACTTATTTAATTAGAATCATCAGTCTTTGTCAACTAATTTATCTTGAGTCCTCAGAAAATTTCAATCAAAAGGTTGGTGACTGTGACCTACTTATGGTATTTTATAATTATATTATAATATCTTCAGTCTTAACTGGCTAAATATTATCAAACTTTGTAAGTTGATGCATTTTGGGTCTTATGATTCTAATAGAGTTGGAGGCTTCTAATAGAAGTGATAGATTGTACAATTTATCAGAAGAGCGATTCAAGGCCCTTGGGCCTCTTGTTAGGTTACTCAGGTGACCTATTGCTATCTGTTTTTGTACTTCATTGTGCGTCGTTCCTCATGTGTTAACATTTGAACATTTTCAGCTTCTTTTCTGCAACTGCTCAACCAATTTCAACTAATTTTGGCACAAAGCATCTATGGGTTAAAGAGAACAAAAATTGTGAATTTCATGGTCCCTGCCCCCCTGGGGCATGAGGGATGGGGACAAAACCACTAAGATTAATACAGTATTTAAAAATCTTGTTCTATACTCCTGGACATCAAGCAGTCAATCTGTTGGCATGATTTTAATCAGCATTGAGTCCTCTACAAAAATGATGAAATTCATGGCCCCTGGGTCAGGGGTTCTGTTGTGAGGGTGAAGTTCTATTGATTATACAGTGAAAATGCATTAATTCTTTAAAAATCTTCTTCTCTGCTCCTGGGCATTAAATAAACTAACCAAGTACTGTAAAATCACATATTTCCATGGAGTCAAATTTTCGTGGTTTGAGTAAAAACTTTTGGATCAGGGGATTTGAATTCGTGGATGGAGAATTTTTGAGAAGTTATGTATGTAACATTTTACATTTCGTGGTGGACATGAATTCGTGGGTCTCTTCATACCTTAAAAACAACAAAAATTAACCCCCCCACAAAAAATTGGGATTTCACAGTACATAGTTATGTTGAATAAGGCTGCCTCTACCAAATTGTGAATTTCATGGCCCCTGGGTCAGGGGTTCTTGTGTTAGTGCAGGGCTCTATTGATTATATAGTGAAAATAAATTGACTTTTTGAAAATCTTTTTCACTGCTCCTGGGTTTGAAACAAACTAACTAAGTACATAGTTATAATGAGTGAGAATGCCTCTACCAAAATTGTGAAATTCATGGCCCCTGGGTCAGGGGTTCTGGTGTTAGGGCAGGGCTCTATTAATCATATAGTGAAAATGCATTAATTCTTTAAAAAATCTTCCTCTCTGCTCCTGGGCATTAAAAGGACATTGACACAGTTTCAACTGAATTTTTAAACCAATTTTAATGTTTAATTCCTAACTAAGGCATAATCTAATGATCAGCAAAAAATTTGAACATCATTTGTGGATTAACAAACAAGATACAGAACTTTAAATTCTTCATAATCATATTAAGAATTAACTGCTTTATTGAAATTGTCTGCTTTGAACAAGCATATATTAGTTTATTATACTTCTGTTAAAATGTTTCCTATATAAAGTTAAGATGGTAAAAAACTATCTTTTATAGTTCACGCATAGCAAAGCTATACCCCGGGGTATAGGTTTTGCTATCCACCCTCGGAAAATTTTCGTGCAATTTTTGCCTCCAATTTTGATTTCCAGCAATAAATTTATTGACTGATGATGTCATAATGACTTCAGTAGCACTGTGATGTCATCAGGATTTCAGATTATTCTTGCAGTAAAATTATTTTATACATCAGATGTTTATTTATGTAATATTAGTTTATACACAACATATGTACTGTGCTACTAGTGTGCAGTCTCAGTTATGCGCATCGAAGTATAGAATGTTTATATATGCAAATGAACATGTGTCACGTGATCTTTGTTTCTGACCAGCCATTGGAAAATCACTGACCAGATGCAGCAGCAGTGTTGTGATATTATGCGATAAATTTTACCTATTATTATTTATTTAACTAAACAAACGGACATAGGATTATTTCTGTGATTATTCGTGATATTCTTTTAACTTACCATGTGATTTTCCACGTGTTTTACTACGATTTGTTTACAAACTTTGTGATCATGGGTCCAACGAGGAATCAACGTAGTAATTCTAGAAAGTCTGTGGTTTACGATATGAACAATCCTATAATTGGACAGTAAATAAAATTCGAGATAAACTGGGGAAATGAGGCATAACTGCTCCTTCTACAAGCAGAAAATCGGAGTAAATACGACTATACCGTACAAGTAAGGATAGTGCAGGGGGGCTAACGGAACAGCCAAACACTGAACGGCGGAAAATCGAACCGGAAGAGAGAAACGTAAACAACAAAGATGGCGGAGATCTAGCAGTTATTCTCCAAGAACTTGCTAAATTACGACATGAAGTAAACGACATTAAACGTGCCCAGATCCAGCAAGTTAGAACAGCAACTAACGTTAGTGTTAATCAAACTACATCATCGGTTACTCCAAGTTCTAATCCAGCAGCAAATAATTTGACTACAGCCTATGGATCATTCAATGGCACTACGACTTCGCCTTCTGTTAGCAACAGCCACAACCATGTCAGAACGAAGTATGGTTTCAGTCTCGAATCCCTTCCTTATATTGAGACAGTCCAACCGAAACTTAGACAAGCCATAGTGGAAGGTAAGGATATAAACCTTGCTTCTCTAATTATGCCCCCACTGCCATCACAATTGGATGATGCTCATGATAATCATAAAGAAAAAGAGAAACGTGATCCTCGTTTGAACAGGATGTTGACCATCGAGGAATTTATCACAGCGTTTGGAATTTACAAGAATATCATGTGTGAGCAATTCCCTCAGAAGCGTCCAGAACTTGACATTTATGAAAGAGACATAGTTGACATGTCGTCCAGATATGGGGGAACTGCTTTTTATGAATATCACAAACAATTTAGCGCCAGAGCATCCGCCCATCTAAAGTACAACAATATACCAGTAGATTGGTCTATTAGAGACAACACATTGTTTTGTAATATATTTGCAAATCAAAAACCTATCTCATGCAACAAATGCTGGAGTGTATCCCATACAACAGGATTTTGTCCATTAGTGAATATATACTTCCGGTCACTATGCTTCGTCCACCTTCCAGAGATCTGAATACTTAATGCTAGTACAGACACGTACGGAAGAGCTCGCCAACGATTTGGAGGTATCGAGATTTGTAACAACTTCAACGGTGACAAGGGATGCATACAACCTCGTTGTAATAATCTTCATGTGTGCCTGCAATATAAACAAGATCACCCAAAAACTAGATGCCCAGAATCAAAAAACGGGAAAATCCCCCCCAAGAATCACCAAAAGGGGGGGAAATAGACGATGCTTTATCCGAGAAAAGGGATAATACCAACACGTGTGTAAATATTGAAGTTTTGGGACTTACTATCATCTCACCCTGATAGGCTTTTTGTGGATTATCTCATATCAGGACTAAGATATGGTTTCGATTCTGGTCTGCAACAGTTACCAACAGAAAATCTGATATGTAAAAATTTGCTTTCAGCCTGAAATCAACCTGAAGCAGTTACTGAACTTATACAGAAAGAAATAGATAAAGGTTTTGTCATGGGGCCGTTCGAAGAAATACCGTTTCATACGTACCGCATCAATCCTATAGGAATTGCAGAAGGCAAATATTCAAAGAAAAAACGTTTGATTGTTGACTTGTCGGCACCACACCAGAATATGGATATCAGAAGTCTAAATGATCTAATTGACAAAGATGAATTTTCTTTACAATATGTGACCATAGATCATGCAATCAAAATTATCAAGAACAAAGGACAAGGAAGTTGGTTGTGCAAAACAGATATAAGTGACGCATTTAAACTTATACCACTTCACCCATCTTTATGGCCATATCATGGTATAGCATGGCAAGGACAATACTATTTCTACACTAGATTAGTCTTTGGAAGTCGATCCAGTCCGAAAATATTTGACACATTGTCTACAGCTATCTGTTGGATTGCGGAGAATGTTTTCAAAATTGGAAATATTCTACATTTATTAGACGATTTCCTTACCATTGATGCACCTGATGTAGAAGCAGACAGAACTATGTCCCTACTGACCATGATATTCAAGAAACTCAATATTCCAATAGCCGCGCACAAAACTGTAGGTCCAACTACTTGTATAGAATATCTAAGTATTATACTAGATACTTCAAAGATGGAAGCCAGACTACCACAGGAGAAAGTTGATCGCATTGCAGGTATAATCAAACAGTTTTCCAGCAGAAAATCTTGTACGTAAAGAGAACTATTGAGTCTACTTGGTCATTTAAACTTTGCCTGCCGAGTCATTCATCCTGGGAGATCGTTTATCTCGTATCTCATACAACTGTCCACAAAAGTGAAAGAATTACACCACCACGTTAAATTATCTCAGGAGTGTCGCTAAAACCCCAGTCACATTTCCAAAAACGACCAACGGCCGACGGGTTTTGAAGCAAAAATGGAATTCTTCGGGTGACAGTCGTCAGTTCATCGGCCGTTGTCTTGGCCGATTTTGACCTATTTTTTTGTCGGCCGACCAATTTTGTGTCCATCGGTCCAAGTTATAATTTTTCATGCGTCAGTGGCCGATTTCTTCAAGTGCAGTTATCCGTCGACCAACCTTCGATCATCGTCCGACCATCGGCTGTCAGTTTATTAAGTCGGTCGTCCGTCGTTGGACAATAAGGGTGTTGAAAATTTCGGCCGACGGTTAAAATCAAACTGTAGCTCAGAGCTCGATGATCGAGCGATGATTGGCCGACTTGTGAATATTTAACCTATTAAAGGATACATAACACAAACAAAATTTTGATGCATGGATTGATATAATTTTTTTGAATGGAGATAACATAAATAATTAATCTGTAAGATATAAAGAAATCTTAAGTATTCTTTGCTGCTCAGATATGCACCATTTGTCGTTTTTATGCAATTCCAATCAAATTTTACACACATTTTCAACAATGAGTCACAATTTTATAAGATTCTGCCACTTTGCCTTGCAAACATTACTTACGTCACCTATCTGAATATAGATCTATGAAAAAATATTGCTGATTTCTAAAGAAAAAAGATTTTTGGTGTTATTTTTCCAAGTCATCGGTGTCCCTAGGAAATAATGTGACTGCTCCGTGTTGCCCGATACTGTGTCGGCCGATCCTGTTCTTTCAGCCGACAGGACCAGAAAAATTTAGTCGCCCGACCATCGGCTTAAATGTGACCTAGGCATTAGATTTAACCATGTGGCACAAATTCTTATGCAGATGGAATGGGGTCTCCTTTTTCTTGGATGAAAATATTGTATCATCAGCTGATATGCACCTATTTACAGATGCCACAAACTCTGCATTTGGAGGGATCTTCGGCAAAAGATGGTTTCAAGGGGAAATTCCACAAGATATTCTTGCGCTATCTCAAACCAACTCAATGGCTTTCTGTGAATTATATCCAATTGTGATGGCCTGTGTTTTGTGGGGTAGTGAATGGCCCCATAAACGTATTTTGTTTCATTGTGATAATATGTCTACTGTGAACATCATTAACAAAGGTAGATCTAAAGTGCCTCGGGGAATAGTTCCCTGTCATGGGTTTGATAAAAGAGCTATCCCACTCGCAACCAGTGGATAAGTGTATAATATTAACCTTTGTAAAAAAAAAAAAAAAAAACATGACACAGACTCTGTTTACATAACAAAGGTTTGGAGCTCTAAATCTGTCTTGTATCTCGACAAATAAAGTTCAAATTTTTGATGATCATTAGAAAGAGCTTAGTTAAATATTGTAAAAATGGAAAAATAAGTTTGAACATTTTAGGTGAAACTGTGTCCATGCCCCTTTAAATAAATTAATCAAGTACATAGTTATGTTGAATAAGGCTGCCTCTTCCAAAATTGTGAATTTCATGGCCCCTGGGTCGGGGGGTTCTTGTGTTAGGGTGGGTCTCTATTGATTATATAGTGAAAATACATTAATTCTCTAATTAAGCTCTTGTGGATTTATTTTCAGGTTCCATGTTTGTTCACTCATGACCCCCTAGGGGTATGGTTGGGCCACAATGGACCATCAAAATTTAACAGAGGAATATATAGTAAAAATCTTCAAAAAATCTTTTTCTCATGAAAAAGCAGAGCTATAATATGTCATATGGAAGCATTCTTGTAGATTCAAGTTTGTTCAAAACATAACCCCCAGGATTAGGGTGTGGCCACAATAGATGAACAAAATTTTACATAAGAATATATATATGAAAAATCTTCTTCTCAAGAACAGCAAAGCAATGATTGTTCATATTTATGTGAAATATCTGCAGGTAGTGTAGATTGAAGTTTGTTCAAATCATGACCTCGGGGTAGGGTAGGGTCACAACCAAAGTTATACATCGGAGTATATATGAAAAATCTTTAAAAATCTTCTCAAGAACAGTAAAGCTATGACTGGTCATATTTATATGGAACCATAGTAACATGGTTTTATGGTAACAGGGTACAGTATGATACCTGGTTAGTAATTTTACACAAGTTAGGTTTTGCCTCATCAGGTATAAAATTTACCAACCAGGTGTCATCCTGTACCCTGTAAATACAAAACTAACTAACTAATATTACTGTGTTTCATTATATTTTAATTTTAATTGTGTGGTAACAGGTCACAAAGATACCATGCAGAAGAAGAGTTGGATCCAAGATTTGCTTCTTTTAAGCCTGGTGTCATTAGGTAACAGCAAGTAAAACCACTGTGTATTCTACAATGTAGATGATGAGGAACTTGTGTATTATCATAAAGTCTACTTCAAGTTGATATTTGTTTTCTCTTACTGTTTTTTGTACAGTCCTGGTTTACGTAGAGCATTGGAGATCTCTTCAAAAGAGCTACCTATTTACATTTATCGCATGAGGGATCTGGGATATCCACCAGGCTGGATGCAAGAGGCTTTGTTGAAAGATTCAGGGATATCTATATTTGACAAAGATGGAAATGGCTAGTTTAATTTCATTTATACTAATCAATTTTTAGCTCACCTGAGCCGAAGGCTCAAGTGAGCTTTTCTGATCACATTTTGTCTGTCATCAGTGTGTCTGTCACTTTTCACATTTTCGACTTCTGCTCAAGAACCACTGGGCCAATTTTAACCAATCTTGGTACAAAGCATCCTTATGTAAAGGGAGTTAAAATTGTTAAAATCAAGGCCGAAGACCACTTCCAAGGGGAGATAATCAAGAAAATACAAAAATAGGGTGGGATCATTAAAAAATCTTCTTCTCAAGAACCAGCCGGCCAGAAAAGCTGAAACTTATGTGGAAGCATCCTGGGGTAGTGTAGATTTTAAATTGTTCAAATCATGACACCCGGGGATAGGGCGGGACCACAATAGGGAATCAAAGTTTTACATAGAAATATATAGGAAAATTTTTTTTAAATCTTCTAACGAACTACTGGGACAAAAAGGCTAAAACTTATGTGGAAGCATCTTGGGGTAGTGTAGATTCTAAATTGTTCAAATTATGACCCCTGGGGTAGGGCAGGGCCACAATAGGGAATCAAAGTTTTACATAGAAATATATTGGAAAAAAATATAAAAATCTTCTTCTAAAGAACTACTGGGTCAGAAAAGCTGAAACTTATGTGGAAGCATTCTTGGGTAGTGTAGATTATAAATTGTTCAAATCATGACCCCCAAGGGTAGGGTGGAGCCACAATAGGGATTCAAAGTTTTACATAGAAATGTATAGGAAAAAACTTTAAAAATCTTCTTCTCAAGATCTACTGGGCCAGAAAAGCTGAAACTCATGTGGAAACATCCTGGGGTAGTGTAGATTCTTAATTGTTCAAATCATAACCCCTGTGGGTAGGACGGGGCCACAATAGGGAATCAAAGTTTTACATAGAAATACATTGGAAAAAACTTTAAAGATCTTCTTCTAAAGAACAACTGGACCAGAAAAGCTGAAATTTATGTGGAAGCATCCTGGGTAGTGCAGATTCTAAATTGTTCAAATCATGATCCCCGAGGGTAGGATGGGGCCACAATAGGGAATTAGAGTTTTACTTAGAAATATATAAAAAAAAACTTTAAAAATCTTCTTCTCAAGAACCACTGGGCCAGTAAAGCTGAAACTTATGTGGTTGGGTCACAATAGGTTATTACAAGGGGGAATTTTGTAAAGAACAACATGGCCAAGGCTACTCAGGTGAGCGATGTGGCCCATGGGCCTCTTGTTAGTTCTGCAATGGATCAATTGCTTTTAACTGTGAAATTGGTAAACGTTAAGTAAAACAAGCACATGTAGCTTTATTTTCTTGAAAAATAAATATTAACTATATTAACTAATATTTGACACCAGAGAATTATTAGTTTTGAGCAAATACTATTTCTTTGATCTTTTTTAGGGTTTTACTTTAAATTTTTACATTGTAGAAGTGTTAGTAACAGGAGAAATGATGGAAGATGGTGAAATAAAGGATCGTATCCCAAATGATGGTAGGGATTATGAGAACTAATTACACCCCTTCTTTGAAGGATAGGGGGTTATACTGTTTAACCCTTGTGTGTCTGTCCATCTATCTGTCAGTCTTTTCATCCTAGTGTCTGTCCATAACAAATTTTTGATTGTATCTTACATAACAAATTTTCATCCCAATTTTCTCAGCAACTAATGACAAATGCTTGAAATTTTAGCACATTCTTTTCTGAGGCATGTCATGTGGTGGGATTCTTTTTTAGCTCACCTCAATAAAGTTATGGGCTCCCAACTTATGTGATAATCTCGGCATCCAGCTTAAAGTTTTTGATGCAGTATAATTCTCTTAAAGTACCAGTCCACATTAAAATCAGACAAAGGGTGATATACAAAGGTTCTCAGAATTTGATGATTTTCCACTCATAGATTTATTTTGAAGTATGAACAATGTATGAAAAATGTTTTGAGTCATGGTTACCATGGAAACTCAGCCAAAGAAATTTCCATAGCAACCGGCAGATTTTTTCACTGTTGATGGACAAAAAATCACTTATCTTTAAAGGCTTAAAATAACATGTTGATACATTGAGAATTATTCTTACTTATTGGTGTAATAAAGATGCACATTTAAAGTCTTCTAACAATGTAATAAAAAATATTTAGGTCTTAAGGGGGCCAACTGTAGTTTTTATTTTTTTTTTTACAAATTTATTGTAGTTTATATTTTGCGCATCGTAGTAAAATGAAGGGTATTTACTGTTTTAAAGCAACTTCTTTCACTTGATTAATAAAATTAAACAAAATTAAGAAATTACAGGTTCAAAAATGTAATTACAATTTTATATAACTGAATTTTTAACCAATTTTGCAACTGATAGGTAGGTTGACATCGTTATAGTGTGTTTTTGACGTTAGGATAAACTGAAGCTCTGAAAGACAGGGTAATAAAAATGTTATTTGATAAAAAGTAATAATCATACTCTCTTGAAATTTAAAACATAAAAATTTGAGAATCTCCATTATTCTTATCATTTTTTCATATAATACATTTGTGCCCGTCATACGAGGGCCGTTCAAAAATTACGCGGACTTGCTGCACAGAAAAAATATTTGACGATATAATTGGGCAAAATGTTGCACATAATATAAAAGAATCTTTACTTATATGGTCTACAAAATTTCATATCAAAATGTTGTAAATCGGTATCAAAATGAAGGGACATATCCCCTCGCAAGGGGAGATAATCAAGAAAAGACAAAAATTTGAGTGATTTTTCAGGACATATCATTTAGTCACGGAGCAGCAAAATCTTCGACGTCACAGTTTTTATAAAAAAAAATATGTGACTGAGCTTTCATTTTCTCAACATTTTCCAAAGAATACCTGTACAGTTTGAGTCATATTATCTAATCAACATCAAAACACCATTTCTTGTCAAGCTTTAAATCTATTAAACAAATAAAGAATATTCTTTTTTTGTTTTAAACCCAAAAACTGCAGGTATTTAGGGAAAAAAAATGTGTGATATTGATGACTCTCTATCACGTTCTTTACATTCCAGATCAAGTTTTCGTTAATAATCCTCTTCCCGTCCTCCCGTATAGCCATTTTACAGAGGTCTAATGGTCTAAAATTCCTATCTTCTATTTGTGGCGAATGTAACGAATACCCTAGTTTACTACATGTTTTATTATGCATATTTCGGATCTATGTTGGCGATATCTCGAGCATTACAAAGTGTGGTGCGTGTGGTGCGCCGTCAATTCACAAGACGTCATTTTCTCAGTCGTTTTCACGGGGATCGCACAAGGAAAATTGCTATATTTCTATATATAAATATAAGCCAGAAATCCAAATACATAATAATAGAACAATTTAAAGATACATTTGAGAAAATTGTAGAAAAATATTGCGAATTATAGAAAATGAATGAGTTAAATTTTGGATTCCGCATGCTTTTGCTTCAAATTTTTTGTCGTGCTCCGTACCTCTAAATCAGCGATATTAATATACCGATAATTTTAGTATAATTTTTTTAAAATACAGAAATTTTGCCCAAAATTTATTGGAGTCTTTGAGATACATATTTCTGTGAAATTTCATAACTCTATGACGTCTATAAGAGTAAATAATAGGACAGTCCGCGTAATTTTTGAACGGCCCTCGTATTTTGTAGTACTCCATAGAAACAGGAAAATTCGTTAATTTTTGGCCTTTTTAGATGCTCCCTCTGGTAACAAGATGGTTGAATTTTGTATTTCTTACATGTAATGTATAGTATAGTATTACTCATCGACGATCGTACATGATAGTTTGAACAAAAATTCTGTTGTAGTATTTGTGTAATTTGCTTTAAAGTGCTAAAAATTGTCACTTTCCTATATAATCCTATAGTAAATGTACCTATACTTTTAGAAGGTCCCTTAAAAATACCTGGATGGTAGATTTCGCCCAAACTTTGCATGTATACTAAAGTTAACGTAAGTTATATATGGTATAAAAATGAAGAGTTTTCACACAATAAAACCCCAGTTGGCCTCCTTTAGTCAACATTTTGAAAAAATGTCTTCCCACTTAGCCAACATTTTGAAAAATCCTATTCCCACATAGCCAACATTTTGATTTTTACACCTGAGTGATTCACAGGTTATAGTCTGTTTTCTGGTATGCATATATATATAAATGACCTGAGAATTAATTCCTTTGGGAAATAAAAACAGTGTAAAAATATACCAACCAGAGGTAAAATTTGAGTCAAAATAAATATAAAATCATAAAGAAAAAAATTAAAGTTCAATAATTTTTTAATGTAAAAAAGTAGCAAAATTTTACAGATAATTAATTAATTCAAAAAAGTAATGAATTTAAATTAATAAATAGAATATTAATTATATCATTTAAGTAAATAAAAAAATATTTTTTTTTACCACACAACATATTTTCATTAGAAAATAAATAAAAACAATTAAGACACTCTAAAGAAACAATTATGTATAATAATTAAAAATGGTTGTGTTTATACAAGTAAAAATGCTTGTACATAACATTACCGATACACAAGTTATATATATTAAGTACATATGTATTAGTAAATCAACTTAGTTTTCATATGTATGTTTCCAGATGAAAAAAAATTAATGTAAGCATTTATTATTTTAGGTTTACATCAGTGTTCAGGTATAATTAAATATAATTCTTTAGAGAAAGAGAATTTCTTATTTATTTCATATTTGAAATAAGATGACATCTAAAAATAGTGTTAAAAATAATGAAATATTTAAATCATAGTTTAAAAAAAAATAATATTTTTTATATGAACTATTTAATATTTATGAGAAAAAAACATTTAATTATTAATTTTTATATTATTCTTATATGAATTATTTACTATTTATTTATCATATAGATAAAACAGACTATAGCCTACCTGTAATTTATTTCTTTTGTTCTCCACCTGCACCCCATTCCCACTCAACCAACACAGATTTACCTGTGTTGTACCTGTATTTTTAGCTCACCTGAGCCGAAGGCTCAAGTGAGTTTTTCTGATCACATTTTGTCCATCTTCCGTCTGTCCGTCCGTAAACTTTTCACATTTTTGACTTCTTCTCAAGAACCACTGGGCCAATTTTGATCAAACTTGGAACAAAGCATTCTTGGGTGAAGGGGAATTTAAATTGTTAAAATAAAGGGCCAAGTCCCCTCACAAGGGGAGATAATCAAGAAAAGACAAAAATAGGGTGGGGTCATTAAAAAATCTTCTCAAGAACCACTGGGCCAGAAAAGCTGAAATTTATGTGGAAGCATCCTAGGATAGTGTAGATTCTAAATTTTTCAAATCCTGACCCCCACAATGGGGAATCAAAGTTATACATAGAAATATATAGGAAAAATCTTTGAAAATCTTCTCCTCAAGAACCACTGGACCAGAAAAGCTGAAACTTATGTGGAAGCATCCTGGTATAGTGTAGATTCTAAATTGTTCAAATCCTGACCCCCTGGAGAAGGGCGGGGTCACAATGGGGAATCAAAGTTTTACGTAGAAATATATAGGAAAAATCTTTGAAAATCTTCTTCTCAAGAACCACTGGGCCACAAAAGCTGAAACTTATATGCACATGGAAGGATCCTGGGATAGTGTAGATTTCAAAATGTCTAAATTATGATCAGTGGGGTAGGGTGGGGATGCATTATGTATTACAAGGGGGAAATCTGGTAAAGAACAGAATGGTCAAAGCTTCTCAGGTGAGCAATGTGGCCCATGGGCCTCTTGTTTCAAAATGTTGGCTAAGTGGGAAGACACCGTCAGACAGTATAAACAAAGGCTTCACTAACTAAGTTAGAGGTGTGAACAAGGTCACAATTATCAAACAAGAGGCCCAGGGTCCACAGCGCTCACCTGAGCACACCGACTAGGAAAAAGCACATATCAGATCAGAACTGAAAGTTTACCGAGGTTGTAGGGGGGGGGGCTTAAATTTTACCCCCCCCCCCCCCACACACACAGGGGGTCATGATTTGAACATGATAGAATCAACACTATCTGACGATGATTCCATATAAATATCACTAATCATGGCTTTGAAGTTCTTGAAAAGAAGATTTTTTAAGATTTCCCTATATATTCCTTTGAAAAACTTTGATCAACCATTTTGGCCTCACCCTACCACCAGGGGTCATGATTTCAACAAACTTGAATCTACACTATCTGAGGATAATTTCACATGAGTTTCATCTTTCCTGTCTCAATGGCTCTTGAGAAGAAGATTTTTAAAGATAATTAAAAAGATATGTTTCAAAAAATATCAAAATTTACAGCGTATAGCATGTTTAAAATCTAAAATTTTGTTAGATGAACTTCAGTAGGCTAGCACATATTTGTACAACAATGTGGGGCAAACCATCTCAGTGTGGAACGGAATCGGTGCAAAACATGGCAGCGCGAACCATGTATAGGTGCAAAACATCCCATTACCAATGGTGGCCATTGAAGAAGGAATGTAAACATGTGCTGATTAA